TCTGGACACTCTCTAACAGGTCCACATCTCTCCTGTGTTGAAGACTCCACATCTGGACGCAGTATTCCATGTAAGGACTCGCCAGCACAGAGCAGAGGGTCACCTCCCTTGACTTGCTGATCACACTTATTTTGATGCAGCCCAGGATACGGTTTGCTTTCTGGGCTGTGAGGGTGTAGGGCATGGAGCAGGAGCCACTGACTCCCTTTCAGCCACTTGCAGCTGTGCCTAACATTTCTGCCCCTCATGTCTTCTCCTCACCTTCAGGCACAGCAAGATGTGGATCAATCAATGGGGAGGGGTTAATGTGGAGGAGCAAAGAGCACTAGAGATTCCTCTGTGCCTCCTTCAGATATCGGCGAGATGGACTTTTTAAATGCAGATTATGTAATGTGTTTGGGGACTACTTAGAATAAATGTTATTGACAGCTATTACATTGTATAGTATTAATAAGTATTTAGGGAATTTTTTTAAAGGTGAAGTATTGACAGGAAAGACCATAACAGCTACTTCTGGGCCATTACAATTTATCTTCTAAATCAGATTGGGTTTATGGTTCACTGACATGTTTCACCCTATTACCTGCTAAAGGGTGGTTAATGACAATGTGTTTGCTACGCGTGATACTGCAGCCTGTGACACAGCACATCTACAATAGAAAGGCCTCACAGAGAAGTGCTCCTCTGAGGAAAGCTGTTCACTGCAGATCTTTGCAGGGCTGGCTCTTAATGGCTATACAATAACATAAAACAAAGCATTGAATTTGGTCCCTCAGGGTAATGTCTAAACTTGCCGATGGGTCCAATTCTGTTAAATCCTGGGTGAAGTACAAGCCCTGGCTCTATGGATTTCCCTATAACCAATAGGGGCCAAGAGCCATGGTTGATATTAGTGCTCTGGCTCCACTGGCAGTAATGGAGAAGTACAAGTTGGTGCTTGCTGTTTCTGGGCAGTGCAGAGCTTTCTTCTCTAAGCGCCACTTTCAATTCAGCCCTTGATTAGTCATGAATTGAGGTCATTTTAGGGTTGACTGTGTGGGTAAAAACAGTCAGTTACTAACAGCTGAAGTCAGACAGCATTCACCTCTACCATGGTCCTTTCCTTGTTGGAAATGTTTTCACAAGTAAGAGAAAATAAGGATGCAGCACTGTCTATAAGTAATTTTATTCTGTAAATAATCTAAGGTTGATTTCTTGGTCTGCTGCTTTTATCTTTTCACTCATACTAATTTGACTTTATGTTCATTTTGCATTTTTTGCCACTGAAATATGAAGCAATTAATATTCACCTGAATTCATCTGTCTCCTGCCAAAAGGTAATTTCTTCTTCATCTGGAGAACTGTCTAGAATTGAGACTTCCTGTCCATCTGTTTTCTCTCGCCATGCCAAAGCACTCCAGAAACAAAACAGGCATGAATTAACTTGTTTATCATGAACCCTCACCTTTCCAACATGAAGGTGATAGACTTTCACACACATACAATGACCCAGATTTGAATGACAGTGTTTTTTTCCCATGAAAACAATAGTCCCCTCCCTGATGACACAGGTGTGCATTGCCGCCACGCTTAACTTCTGACTCCACCAACTCCTTTACTGGAAGCAGCCAGTAGATAAGCTGAGTTTTGTCCAGGCACAATTCTTTCGGCACAGAGCTTCCTTCTCGTGGACATCTTTTGAATTGTTGAATATCTCTTGTGAATCCCACTCGTGCCCTCCATCAGTAATAAAGGCTGCTCTATTTCCACCTACAGCCAGCCTGCTGTCGGGATGCAGGCTGCTTTGGATAATGAGACCATCTTCTGCTCTTTGTTTTGTTTGCACTGGATTTTCCAAACGCCCAGCGAGTGCCATTCAGTCCCTCAGTTAACATTTACACTGCAATCAGCATCCTGCACCCTGTTCTATTTTCTGCAGACATGTAAATAGAACCCTTTTGTAAACTTCGTTTAATCATAGTGCCATATTATGGGTTGTCTAAAACAGTGTCAAGAGATCCTGTTTCCTTTTAGCTTCACCATTTGGCTAAGGTATAATCTACAGTACGTCAACACAACACATCTCTCTATTGAGTGTAGAGGTGAGATACAAAGCTTTCAAAGCAGGCAGATTCTTTAGCTGTTTCTTGGTTTCCTCAAGCACTTTGTACATGAAAGATTGTTTCCTTATCTCTTGGAAAAGCTTTTGGATGAAATTAACCCCGGTGTAGAGGGTCAGCCTAACGGCCCCTGCACTACTTAAGTCCTACTTAGAACCTATTCTGAGAGCTTAAATCGGATTTGTGTGGTGCACAAGGTGTGTATCCCCCTGTGACTAGATAAAGAAAAAAGGTATTATTTATACTTAGGATTTCAGGTCTTTCTGGATCTATTTTATATGGTGCAGTGTGGGGGAACTCTGAAGTAGGAAGTCAGTAATGTGTGGCTTTCTGAAGCTGTCCAGCAAACGTGGAGTAACTGGGCCTGGCTACCTGTGGTGCTTCTGGCATCTCCAGACACGGATGTGCAAGCATTACTGCAAATGATGATCTGATCACCAAGGTCCAAATCCCACAGAGCTGCTCCAGGAGAACACAGGCTGGAAACCCAGCCACATCCCCCCCACCTCGCTCCCTTCGGGGTGATGCACACCCTGGGTCAGATGGCAGTGAGAAACCTCAGTCTTCAGTAAAATTCAGGGGAGTAATTGTAGCTGCTCTCTGAAAACTTCAGAAAGAGAAGTGTTAATAGCTTTTCATATCGTATTTTGCCTTATAGCCAATGCACAGGAATTACACAGCTCTTTGTCCAATTGAAAGAAATCTGGTACAAGTTGCCAATTTAGCTGTCTCAGTCTACAATAAGCAAGTTTGATACCAAATAAATAGTCTCAGATGCCTTTTTTTTTTTTTTCATTTTCCTTCTTGAGCATTCTGAGTAGGGTTCTTCATTGTTTGACATAAGTGCGAAATAAATCCAAAATGCCAGCCTAGTGTGAGCCTGTGACAGAGCTGTAGGTACAGATACAAATGAGAAAATCAGGGCCCAGATGAACACTAAAAAGATCTAATGGTGCATTTGTCAGTCTCAGTTCTTCCCAGCCAGCTTTGTGGGCAGCTGCAGTAGATAGCCTGATGGCAGCTGTGGCACACCTATGTCTCAGCTAAGAATACAGTCCTGCTGTTTCCAATTAGGTCAGTCTGGCACTTGTCAAGTCCTAAATTCAGGTTGTCATTTTGGACGTTTATAAATGGAAACAAAGCCATGTTCCTCCATCATGCCTCTAAATAAGTTCAAAAACAATGCTAAGTCCATTTTAAGCTGCGGGTCCACCCAGCAATCTTATTTCCCTTTTTGGTCAATTGATCTTTCTATTATAATGTGCAGCCTCAGAAGTTTCAATGGTATAAAATCACTTTCCTCTCCCACCTTGGGATCTATGAAGCTTGTCTTGCTTGACCTTCTAGTTCCAAAAGTTCATTTGAATGTATTCTTATAGTGGAGGTGGGATAAGGGACAGTTGCACTGTAAGTAGAATGAGTTATTTCCTAATATATCTGCGGTTTTATTGAAATGTGCACCATGGAATTAGGAGCCTCATTTCTCTGGGGGTACCTGCTGCTGTGGGCCTTCTCAAATCATCTGTCAAATGATCTGTCAAATGATCTATCAAATCTCTCAAATCATGGTGAAGAATTTGTAAGGGCAAATTTTAGTACTGATTAGTTGGTGCTGGCAAACCCTCTTCTAAGAATTCAGAGCCTGGAACTGAATATCTTGCAGATGCCCATTAGAATTAGAGAGAAAGGCAGTTAATACATTTGGGAGGGTACTTTTCTCTTCAGAGGACTTGGTCCCTGGAGTGTGTTTCTGGTTGCATCTAGAGATGTACCTAGAGAAATCTGTGGAGATTTCTGCGTATTATATAGAAGTGAGCAAGCAGGAAAGTTTTCCAGGAGCAGCAGCTGGCACTGGTAAACGTGTTTAGTGAATGTCAGTGTTCAGGTAGTCGGGTGTTCTTTCTGTCTCATCTCGGAACTCACCGATGGCACAAAGGGTCTCCTTCCAGTAAGTCCCAGCAGCGGCTGTGTACAAGCCTGCTCAGATACAGTGGGATCCCAGCCATAGGGGAGTGGAGCTCCGCACTGACTAATTTGCTGGGAGTGAGCCCCACCCTCGGCTGGAATCCCTGTTAATGTAATAATCATCCTGAACTGGGAGTGTTAATGGCAAAAAAAAAACCCTGGGAGAACAAGCGCTACAGGAGGAGGTGAAAGATGTGGGCAGATTAAAAAATAGAGCGCCAAATTCTTGGCTAGAGTAAATAAATAAAGCTCTTTTGAAGCTACTGGCGAGACACCAGGTAACCTGACCCAAAATTTGTACAGGTGGGTGAGCCCTTGCAGGACAAAGCTCCATATGTTTGTCATTACTTTAAGATATCCCATTGCTGCTCAAGCCCTGCGCTTCCACAGCCTTCCACTTCCACTGCTGTGCAGAAAGCAGAGCAACGAGCAGAAGGCTTCTTCTCTGAGAAGGCCATGTCATAACATGCCAGATGCGGACTAGAGAGGTCCCATCTCCTTTTCCTTGCAGGCTTTGCTAACCCAGTGCAGACCACTGGTACATAGCAAAGCTCATGGTGGGGGGAATTGGCACGGCTGAGGGTCAGAAGGACTCGGCCCCCAGCTGCAGGTGGGAAGGAGCTCACACACACGGCACAGTGCAAGGGGTGCTTGAAGGTTGGCCTGATGTGCCAAGAAATGCCTTCCAGTCTGCCCATCCACCTTGGAGTGGTTCTCAAAGCTAGCAAAAAAGACAGTCCTATTGGAATAAAAATAAAAAAATAAACCACAAATCAATTGACTCGGCTTTGGGATCCATTTTTCTGAGCACATTTAAAGCTATTATGAGTAACATGGTGTTTAGCTTTCAGCTAATGTAACAGCTTGGAGAAGAAATGCATTTTGCTCTGGACTTGCTTATTAGTCAATGGAAAAGTATAACCACAAACAGTACAGTTCCATTTAACCACTGTATTAAATATTAAATTTGAAACTGTCACTACCAATTATTTTCAATAGGTCATAATGGTTTGAGGCTTAAGTAATATGGAATAGAAGCCAATCAGTCTAATCAAATGAAAGTATTACTGGTGGGATAGTGCTGCATGGCAGGGTGCAGTGGTGCTGAACCTCGGTTTCTGCTTTTTGTTTCTTCGTGCCGTTTGCTCCTTTGTGGCTAACTTCCCTTAGTGTTGTTGATGAGATTGGTGACTCAAGGAAGCAGGGGCCAAAAGCCTGGAAAGTTTCAGGTCTGTGTATATATCTTCTGACAGGACTGATGTCCAGCATGTTGCCACATCCACTCTGCAAAGAGCTTGTTGAGCAAAATCAGAATTTCACTACGTAACGTAACATAATGAGATTGAAACATACCCTGCATTGCCTGCACGCAGGAGGAAAAGGCTGAGAGTCCTGTTTGAAGGCTGTGGATGAAAAGATGCTGTGAATAGTTACAGGTGCTCCTGTACAGAAAATGTATTTAATGAAATCCTGTTCACATTAGAGGAATCCAGTGGTGATGATCAGAAGCATCAGATCTGCCTCTTTATTTATGGCCAAGTGATCGATTTTCCAGGGGAGATTTTCAAGTGTTCTGTATCAACAAGCATAAGAAAAAGTACTTGGTGTCCAGTTCCATACAGCTCCGGCCCTACTTTGCAAAGCCCTTTGGCACGTGCTGAAGTTCAATTCAAGCAGAAATTAGTTTCCACACTGGTCCTGGCCTTGAGGCAGCCAGCAGCATGGCTTCTTCTGCTGCCTGACAGTCCTTAGTCAGCCACCGAGAGTGGGCAGGCAGCTGGCACACCAGGCCTGCCTGTGACTTGTCTGGGCTCAGTGCATGCTGCAAGTGTCTCTGAGGTGCGTTTGATTCAGATCTGTGCCTTCGAGTGAAGCCAGGTTTTGTCAGAAAGATTCCTGACCAGGGCTAGCCTTATTGTTCTCATGGTTCAGCTGAGGTCAGTAATGCATGTAATCAGTACCAGGGTGTGGATGCATCTGGCAAGTAATGGCAATACCCCGGCCTGTGAAGATTTTGCTCTGAATGACAGTGCTATAATTAAGTCTCCAAATTCAGGACTCTGAGCCAGAATTGAAGTTCGGGAACTTCACAGAGGTAGGGGCCAGCTGTGAAGCTCATCTCAGGATGTGGATTGCAATTTCCCAAAGCCCTGGGGTGGTTTGGTTCGGGGGGAAGATGCTCAGGATCTGTATAAAGAGATTGAGCAAAGATAGTGAGTTCTCTCACACAGCCCTAGACTGAGTAAACAGGTTTGCAATAATCAGCTGTTGACAGATGGCAGCAAAACACCTGTGAGTGACTAAACTTTTCAGCCACTTAGTCAGAGCTCCAGGAAAACCTAGTGCTGATTCTCAGAAATGAACAGCAGATCTTCCAGTGCACTCCGTATCTCCCACTGCTTTCTTCTTTAGCCACAATAAAATGCTTTTGGAAGATGCTAACGTAGGTTGATCAAATTAATTTGGCACTGATTTAATCCTACATTTAAAATATGTGAGATGTAACACTAATCTAGGTGCAACCGCACTGTAATTAGTGTTTGGCTTGCTGCACTTTACTAAATGCACCTGACTCAGCTATTTCACAGTTAGATATAATTCTGCTTTGAAGCCATATTTACCATCTGCAGCTGAAGTATTTGCTTAAAAGTACCCTATAGACAATAAGGCACTAGTCCCATTGTTCTGCTGTGCTTTGCTGATATAATGACCCAGATGCATACCCAAAAGACTACCATTTGTTTGCAAGTGTTAGAGCCCCGTGTGTTGTGGGACATGTCTTGAATTTCTGAAGAGGTGGTTTCACAGTACAACAAAGAGGAGTTTGTAATTGGACTTCTTGTTAACTTAGAGGCTCCCACCACAGAGCCACTTCAAAATCAGGGCGGTGGGAGGGTTTTGCTCAGTCGTAAGGGAACAAAGTGAGTGTAAGGTGGGCAAAACAACTGTAGTGTGCTGCATTAGAGGGCTCTGCCTCACAGCTCTGCCTCTGCATTAGGCATCTGGGCTGGGGCACCCAAATCCCTGTGCAGGGGGAGCTCAGGTCTGCACCCCAAAGGACACTGTGGGCCCTCACTCCCAGCAGCATTGTCAGTCTTCAAGAGTTCATCTTCAGTCTTGTGTTATTTGCTTAAAGTTTCACCTTATGTATTCCAGTGGTGAGGAAAGTGTCTCAATTTTCATGTAAAAAAAAAAAAAAAAAAGAGTTTTGATTTCTTACGATTACAGAGAAGAACTTGAAAACATAAGCTTTAAAGGCTGAAAACCCAGGAGGCATTTAGGTGTGATTTATGTGTGTGTGACTCCTGGTTTCCCAATGCTGAGGGTTAGTAACACAGCCAGCTTTGTTTTATGAGGTAGAGTGGAGCTGGAACACTTCAGATAATGGAAAGTCCCTGGTAATACCGATACAGCTGGTTCTGCACTGCTCCCCACTGCAACTGTTTGCAGAGGGCTCTCGTCTCAGCTGCAGCACCTCATTCACGTCACACATGCGCCATGATCTGCAGCATGTCACAGCACAGCGGCAGCGCCCTGCAAGCAGGGACTGCAGTGCTGCAGGTATTGCAGGGGTAGCGTGGGGCTGGCAGAGGTGAGCCTGGGCTGCGGGCAGCCCTGGCTCCATGCACAGCTGCTGCGGTGCTGTGCACGAAGGCAGCTTGCAGTGCCTGTACTTGTAGCAGCTTATGGCTGCAAGGCACGTAGTCTGGCCCTGGCCAGCACGCGGATCACATGTGGATGACTGCATGGAAAAAAACAAGATGACACTCTGTAGAGGTCAGGTATTCTGACTGGGCCTCATTTAGCCCCTAATCTGTGGATCTGGACTGCAGGTTTGGAAAGCACCTTACTCGCTGGCTGAGCCTCTGCAGATGTAACTGCTGGAGCCTCCAAGACAATCTGACCCTTGTGCATAGAGCCCTGGCCTGGCTGGGGTGGAATTTCATTTGCTATATGCACAGAGGGATGATGGACACATGGTTTCTGTGGCCGAATTAACTGATTAGCATGTTGTTTTGCTATGTTGCATATATTTTACATGTTTGGAGGCGCACTGGAGATGTGTAGATCATTGTTCTCAAGAGCTTGAGGAGCCAGAGAAGCCCCTAAACTGTCTTTGATTTTACTTCCACTTCATTTGTGTGAATTTCAGACATTGAGAAATAATGAGATTTGACTGAAAATACCGACAGTCTATTTGGATGGTTGAGGAATTTCTGCTGTTAAACTTCTTAGCCATGAGTTGGGTTTGTCTCATATCGTAGATCTTTGTTCTACACTGAGGGAGCAGCAACAAGGATATTTCTTCTTGCTGCTGTCAGCCTTGTTTTTTCTTAATGCTTTGAAGGCTCTTCTCCTTCCTTCCCTCCCCAGATGTGATGTGCCTGCAAGGTAGAAAAGCATGCTCTTTCCCACTGGTTTCTTTTCCAGCCTCAAGGAGCCTGCATCTCTGCTGCTAAGCAGCGTGACCCATCGGGCAGGGCCTGAGCATGCTCACCTACCTGCTCATGTCTCCTGTTGTGTGGTAAGTTTCCAAACTGAGATTCTGTCCTATTGCTATATGAGTACTGCTGTGCAGCAGGACACAGGTACTCATGAAACCACTTGTGGATGGTCCATCACTTGTCTATCTCGGGTTGCTCATTACATTCCTCCTCTGTGCTCAGGCTTATAGAGCTACTGCAGGGGAAAAGAGCAGCTCCAGCTGAGAGGGAGACCTTGCTCTATGGCGTTATAAAATGTAAGTTAAAAGATATAATCAAATGCTTTGTTCTTGCACATTAGAGAGAGATCACAGTGTTTAAAATAAACTTAATTAAGAGGATACTCAAATATACAGAGGGCTTGATTTTTCATGTAGAAGAATTAAGCCAAATTATCGTTGTATCAGTGACAGCATAAGGTATAAAACTCAAGAGAATCGTATCTTTAATATCTACCTTCTCATGGAGAGCAAGATCAATTAGTCTGAATTTGTGCATTTGCTTTATTTGAAACTTCAAATTCATCACCTTTTCCAGAAGCTCCAAAGCAGCATTTTACTGGGCTTTCTTTCTTCAACCACCAGGGAGTCTATCCCTCACTGATTCAATACAACTGAGTTATTTTTTGTTATTATTTATTGTAAGACTAGCCCATAGCAACGACGTGTGAAAGGAGCTGCTGTGTTATTCAACTTCTTAATAAAAATGTAGCTCCCTCTTCTGCTGACCCAGATAATTAGTGCCTGATATTCAAAAAAATTTGCACATAAGTCTTCAAAACAGCAGCTGATGTCACTTCATTTTCTCTTGTTGCACAAATTTGGGAACATCTACTAAAACTCTTCACATGCTTTGTTCTCAGAATTAAAACTAGCAGCATTAACTGGGTGAACATTTCATAGACATGACAAGTTTGCATTCTTTAGGCATACCAGTATTGTATTCCCGAATAAAAATAAACCCCTAATTATGATGCTGCAATAACTGCACAGCATTGTTAACATTTAAGTCTACACTATCCTACTTTCTGTTGTATGAGGAGAGAGAATGAGAATGTGGTTGCTTCTTTCCTCAGCCTTCAGTGCAGCAGCCCAAGGGTCCTGAGCTGTGCTACATCATGCAGCGTGGCTCTGGAGATGCCCTCTCTCTTCAGATCTCTCAAGCTTATCTGAGTAATGTCTGAGGTCACAGTAAGCAATCCAAAGCCACTCTGCTACAAAGTCCGAAAGCTTCCCTTATTGCATTAGATTTTAAACTACTCAAGACACCAGGAAAAAAAAAAAAGACACTAAAATACTGATTACCAGCCATCAGCAGTCTCGGCTGTAAACTTCAAATTTCAGGTAAATTTGCATTCTTTCTTGAATTTATGTTGATTTACACCAGTTCAGAATCTGTCCTTACTATAAAATTCATTATAAAATGAGCATAGCGCAGCTTCTAAAGAAATCACTGTAATAAATGAGCTTTGCATTCACAAGATGAGTTCCCACATGTGTGAAAATGTTAATATTCCCGTGACTGAATTCAATGACATAATGAATCTACAGTGGAAAATCATTCAGCATCAAGCAAAGACAGGCATAACTGTCTGCTGGGCTGTTCTTGGCAGACAGGACGTTTTGTATCTCAAGTTAGGAAAGGAAAATAATTGCAAGTGAGTGTCAGAGTATGCCAAGTGGGCATTAAGGGCTAGATCCTGAGGCTATTTCATTCTGCTGGTTGCTACACCTGACTGAAGGATGTTGCTTGAGAGTAAACAGAATGAGAAACCAACCTGAAGATGATTTTAAGATTCAGATAGATACACTTTTAACCCTGAGTCACATCAGGCTTGTTCATCAGATCTTTTGCAACTAGATGTGAACAAACTCCTTCCAGTCTTGCTGCCTTTGAGACTGAACCCATTATAAGATAATGAAAACGCACCTGCAGCACAATCCCATGTCTGTTCACATGCTGGAGCTTTCAGCTGAGCATGAGGCCCTCATACTGTGGAGGCAATTACAAAAGGGATTGCAACTCAGAGCTTGTCTGCTATGAAGAGCTGCAAGAATTGTGTTGGACACCCTGTGAGGAATAAGTGGTTTGTGTATTTAGAAACAAAGGAAAAGTTGTGGAGCTAGTAATACTAAATCTCAAGTACCGTTCCGTTGGATTGTATGATCAATTAGCAATAAATTCTCAGCAGACGTAGCGTCTCTTAGGTATAGGACTTGCCAAAATGATTCAGAAGCCAAGCGACGCCTATCTTGAAATATACAAGCACAACTGCAATTCTTTTTCAAAGGGGGTAGAGGAGGTGACGTAGGTCTGAAATAACGAAGATGTTTGTCATCCATCGGCACCTTTCCTTCCTGCCCAAAATCATACTTGTGGTAACTACCATCTGCTGAAGTTAGGAAGCCCCAGAACATACAACCCAATTTGCTGAAACACCCCGCTCTCCTAGAAAATCAGCCTGTGGCACCAGCTGGGTGAGTCTGCTGAGATCCATATGGGGGTCCAGCACACATTTCCCTACGTTGTGGGGTGAGGCCAGCCAAAAGTGACGGGAAAAGAAATGTAAGAGTTACAACTTTCAGCACATCCATTGTGTTGTATACACTGCCTCGGAAGAATAACCCTACAAAATATAGTTTACGCTAGAAGAATGCTCTAATTGTTTGTGAGTCAGGTAGTTCAGTCATCTGGCACAGAGTGTTGTTGTTGTTCCTTTAAGTCCAACACGTGTGTCTGTTTTGAAGCTGTGAATGTGCATTGCAGAAGCATGTTCCAGAGCTTTCAAGTTTTGCGCTGCTGCTGCTTGGGCATTTTATGCAATCATTTGATGAACTGTCTTACGGAATTAATCACGTACTTTCCTTTCTCATATGGGTCATCAATCAACTTTGGAGGCTCAGCTTTAAGATAAGCATCAGAAATAAATAGGCTGCTCTTTTCTGATAGAGGGGAAGAAAATAGATATATTGTCAGTAGCTCCAGTGTTCTGAGATGCCTTTGGTCTGTGCCAGATGTACACTTGTGGATGAGTGGACCTACAGTTCCTGGTTCTTGGTTTTTCTTTTGGACTTTTCCTGTAAATTGACCATTATTCTGAGAAGTTGCCATTTTCACCCCTTGTCTCCCTCTAAAGGAAGACCAAGTGTGTGGGATTACCTAGTGGATAGCATGTGGAGTAGTGGTATCAAATGCCACCTGAACTGGGAAAGACCAAGCCTCGAAGTGTTAATGCAGTGCATTCGTGTTCCATATGACCTGCTTAAAAAAAGAAGTTGTAGCCACTATGAACCATAAAACTGTCCATTTGGTTGTGAAGGGAGCTGAACAAGGTTGTGTAAGATAAAAGCGAATGAAACGCTATCACACAACTTCTTGAAATGTACCATAAATACAAATAAGAACCAAACCCTGAGCTGAGGTGTCTCTGAAGTAGAGCTGCACATCAGGAGGACGTGGCACTCCGTTGGCTTCAAGCTGCATTCGCTTGGTCTGGGGAGTGTGGGTATTTGTTATCCTACAGCAGGACCTGGATAAACCCGCAGAAGTAAATCTGGGGCTGATGTATTGTGCCAGCATATGAGGAAAGATCCTGGTGTTCCTACTGCTCAAATTATGAAAGTTAGCATGGAGTTATGGCTAACAGCAAGAGTGCAGCACTTTGAAGTGCAAATATGGACAGCATGTTATGCTCAGTGATCCAAACATTGATATCGTGCTGGTCAGGGTGATCCTCCTTGTGGCACTTCACAAGGGGGTAGCATAGTGAAGGGAGAACATCAGAGAATAAAAGCAGAGTATGTTCAGTGAGCAGGATGTGCACAGAGCAGGGCAGCAGTGTGAGTGGCAGCGACCTTCAGGGAATGATGCGGTTAAAATAAAAACACCATCTACTGGCAACATCTTAGGAACAGCCTTGGTCATAATTGAACAGAACTGGTCAAATTGTTGTTTATCTGCCCAAGACATTCAGTTTGCACCTTGTAGCAGCTGGTGTGTGTTACTTGGTGCAGCTGAGATCACTTAAAAGCACATTTGTTGGTGGTTGGTGTTTTTTCTTTTTTTCTGTCTTCTGAAGTTCTGTTTTTATTATTCTGCCTCTCCTCTTTGGTTTACTATCACTGATCCTCTGCTGTAAATGCAGAACTATTCCTTTTGAGCAGATTTGCTGCAATTCCTAAATTACCTGCTTTGCTGCAACTTCTGCTGGGTGAGATCCCAGTGCAGCACAAAGCTCCCAGAGGGAAGCTTTCTCCACGTCCGCAGGGGTCGGCCTGCAGGAGAAGCACTTTCTTCATGCAGGATTTCCTTTGGGAAATTACTTTTCTGTTTCCTATGTCTCTTAACAGGCTCAGTTCATCTGAGCACTGTGGACCACTCAGAGGCGCTCAGAGCAACCTGCTCTGGCGTTTTACACTTCTGCTTTGTTTGGATTTCTGAAGCTGAGCTGGGCTCACGGAGAGCTTTTGATGAGACAGCTTCCTGAAGGAAGGAGGCTGGAAGTAGGTCACTGCTGCTATCTGCTTCCCTCTCATTACTCGAACTGTGTGAAGGATGGGAACAAGCGTGGGAGGGCGGCTCTCAGGGAGCAGGGTGTAAATGCCATGCACAGCTGGGCCAGCTACGCTCCACTCCCTGTGGAGACAACATCCTGTGGGAGAAGGCACCATCTTAGCAGAGTCAGCTGAAAGCTTTTTCAGGTAACATCGGTGAAATGTGTAGGAAACTCTTGAGAGCAAGGGCAACCCCCTCCACGGGGCCATCCATCTCACAACCCGTGCTGCAGTGTGAGAGACAAAGCAGGGTCTGCCCTCTGCCCCCACGTGCTGGAGGAACACGAATTCTGCTGGGCCAGAAGGTGAGGCTGCCCTATGTCACTGCCCAAATGCTGCCAAATTGTAATGGCTTTTCTCCTGCAGCCAAGCATCTGATGGGATGTTTCAGCTCCTGCTTTTCATTCAGCATTCCTTCTTCTTTGCACACTCCTAACAGTAGTGCTTTGCTGGCCTCTACAGAGCAGAGTTTCTTTCTCTTTGCTTTCCCCCTCTTTTACTGAATTTAACACTCTCCTCTTTGCAGCCTGTTTGTGTCCCTGAAGGCTTCTCGCAGTCATTGACTTCTGCATTCGTGTCTTTTTGAGTTATGCCCTCTCACTAGTAATTTTGTGGCTTTATTGAATTCCTTCACCATCGTTCAGGATGCTTAATGGGCTACCCAGACAGGTGAGCACACTCTGGATCCAGATTTTTATTGGCTAATTAAGGCATAGATGATCAGGTTGTTTCAAGCCGGTACTCAGTGTGTTTTGGGCAGGATTTTGCCCATCCCAGACAGCAATCTCACCATTTCTTGCTTCTTTAATGCAAGTATCCAAATTAAGTCAAAGGAATAGGAATTCCCCATGGCCCAGCCCTCTGCACAGAGGCTACCTGTGTGCTGCCTAGTGCAGTTTGTCATTCAGATCATTTCCACCGGTGTTTTATAAGCAAGCCCAACAGTACAGCCCCCCAGCTATCAATTTTACATGTTGTGTCAGATGTCTTTCACAGCCCTGTGCCATTCTCCCACCACTTTTAGCCAGAGTGAATGTGTCCTGAAATAATCCATATTACAAAGATAATTGCTCTGTTATATAAATACGATGCCCATCAGGCATCTCCCTATCCCTGTAAAGGTAAGGTTAGCATGACTTGAGATTGCCGGAGCCGTTAATCAGCCCACTCTGGTTCTTTCCCCTTTTGAAATTGAGTGGGATGGTTAGGGGTCATTTATCAGCCTGTCCCAGACTGTACTTATGAATAATAAATGGTCACCAGACTTGGAGTTATGGCTCAGTGAGAGAAAGACCTTTTGTTTTCACTGAATGGAACCGCAGTTGATTTCAGGGGTGGCAGGATCAGACCCTTAATACAATTTAGATTCACAAGTGAACTGTAATCTCATAACAACAACAATAATAATAATAATAAAATCTTCTTAACATTTTTCCAGCATTATTTAGCCAGGAAAGTAGTTTTAGAAGGATGGTGATTGGGTGCTGACAATGAGCGTGAGATGTAATAGGTTGAAAGTGGCTGGAAGAGAGAAAGAAGGAAACTGTGGAAAATAGAATATGTTTATATTTCAAGGAACAATGCAATGTCAACCCCTTTGTAGGGAGGATTTGTTTCAGCAAAAAAAGTTGTAAACTGTCCAGAGCCATTCTGCCCTAGGCTCTGGATATTAAAAGCAGTTTGGAGCCCCAAACGATGCGTGGCACTGCCTGTGTCCGAAGGCACAAACAAAGCTGAGCCCTCACCTATATTGCAACTCTAATTTTTCAGCACCGCCAACTGCAGCCATCTTAGCAGGAATCTGCCAGTAGTTGGTGGGCTTCTCAGTACTTCTGGAAAGATGTGAAAATGTGAGAGTCTCTCCTTCCATTTATTAAGAAAGATCTTAGACCTACAGAGTCATTTCAGATTTTGTGGTAGGAGTGCACACTGAGGGCTTTTAAAGAAGCAAATGCTGAGAACGCAGAAAAACATGCCAAAGTACTTCCTTTTTGCTGAACATTATCTTAGGCTTCTGAACACTTGTGTGTGACAATACTGGTTACCTGAGTTGTAATTTATCTTTAGGCTCTGTCTGTGCTTGCAGCTGGTATGGTTCAGCAGCCAAGGACCAGCAGACACTGCAGCTCTGCCTTCTTTAAGCCTGTTGCATGTAAATACCTGAAAAGGACAGAAAAATATTTGTAACTCAGGTCTTTGGTAGGGACAAAGAATTTACATAGCCACTCAGCAGCCCCCGTGTTGGCCGTGGGCTCCTCCCCAGAGCAGAAGAAATGTGATGTTACCAGCATCAGTCAGCCACGGGAGGTGCCAGCATAGCACTGCATTGGTCATAACAGAGAACGGGACGATGGCAAATCCAGGGGACCATCTGCTTTTTCCCTAATGTAATTAATGATGGGCCCTATCATTGTTCATGCTCCCATACAAGCCTTGAAATATCAACAGAATTCCTGTTTATAACTTCATTCCAAATCTGTTTGTTCCTGATCCAGTCTTGCCACCTTCGGAGCTGTTGCCATCTGACGTGCTGTATTTTGGCTCAAAACAGAAATAGCCTAATGAAATTTCTTGCAAAAAGGAACTCCATTGCACATGTACATTAGTTATTTTTCATTGCCTCAGGGGAACCACAAATGTGTGTTTTTTCTGTTTAATTGCTGGGTTATGTAAAGAGTGCTCCACATAGCAAAAACGGGGATGGATACTTGACGTGGCAGTCAGGCCTTCTTCCCACCTATTGCTGAGCTTTCCACCCATCCTGTTCCCACTCTCTGGACTTATAGGTACTACCATGATGCCAGTAATATAAACTTCTGTTGGTGTTAAACCCCTGGTCGGTAATTGGATCTGCTATCTTCACATTTAGATTTCAAAATCCCTCTCAAATGTTTATGGACTCACTAGTGCCTTAACTGGGCAGTATGTTTCATGTGTAATAGCTGCTTTTGTGTACTTTGGGTGAGCATTAAAAACTGTTTCAAATAGTGTGTAGAATTCCATATGTTGTCTGGAATCGTGTTCTGCTTTTCATGCAGAAACAGAACAGAAGAAACAGCATGTATTTATTAAAGTCATATTTCTTCAGATAGCTTAACCTCTGCTTTATAAATTGTATTTAGCATCAGTATCATATTCTGTCTTAATCTACTATTGCATTTTAAACCCTGTTCCCATGTTGGTCTGGAGCGGTCCATGCAAATCAGTCCTCTGGACAGAAAACAGGATGGTATTATATAGCAGCTCTTTAGTGTTATATCCAATTTTATGCTTTGTTGAGAGCAGAAGTCACACTATAACAATCCCTCAAAGGCTCAAAGCTGAAGGAACATTAATCAACAGCCAGAGTGAGTGAGTAAATATAATGTCTGTGTTGGAGGAAGGGAGCTTGTATCTGGTTCCAAGCACGCTGTCGGATGCCTGGGACTTTTATCAAGTAAAGCTGAGAGGGAATCTTTAAAAAGAAGGATTTGAGTAAGGATGATTTATCATGTGATTGGGAAGAGTCCACTGGGAAAGGTGAGTGGCCAAGTCCATGTTGACTAAGTAGATCAAGAATGAGTGCCACAGATATACCTCAGTTTTAAATGCCTGTTTGCTGGTCTCATTAATCTGCTAAATTACCCAGCTCAAATTGCTTATGTGTAAGTGTTACATCAAGGTACACTATTTTGTATTAGCTGCCATATAAAAAGGAAACAGCCACTGAAGGTAGGAGAGAGTGAGGGTGAGTTATTGGCTGTTAAATAAGCCAGCAACAAAGTACTTACTCACGGGGAACAAAAATTGCCAAGAAATATTCACATGGGTATCTGATAATATCTAATTTGTTCCCAGAATCACACATCATTGTTTCTGCGTGCTCAGGAAAGAGGCAAAAACAGCAAAGGAGAGAAAGAAGTATGCACACACACACACAAATAATTAACACGCACGCGATCATAAAGTCCAGTGTTAGATCCAGAATACAGTGCAGACACAGCATAAGGAATGTTTATTATGAGCAAAGATAAAAAATACTTGACATCAGGGCTAGCTGATCACAGTTATGAATAACAATTCCTAAATCATCCGTGGCAAATGCTTCTTACAAAGGAAATGAATTGTTGCAACACAATACATCCTTGTTGTATCGATATGATTAGCTAGTTATCCATAACATGTTGTAATTTGTTTTGATTTTTGAGTGTTCTTTAGCTGCAGAGCCTTAATGAGGCTTCTCTAAATTGATTAGGAACTGCGAGATACAGCATGGTTCGCAGATTATTTCAGAGCTGTCAAGATCCTGTGACTTTCATTTCATTGGATTTAATGATCGTTGGAAAAGGTGTGCATTACAGCCAGATACAATCACATTTGTCAGCATGATCCTTTTAAGTGCAATTCAATTAAAGCGTTATTCTCTAATTTTATTATTGCTCAAGCTGAGTGCTAATGCTGGCTACCAATAAAGCTACAGGTAGATAATGGTATACAATTTAATTTAACTAATTGGAGTTTAGTGATCTAACATGCTTTTCATATCTTAATTCTTTGAATAATCTTTGATTTTTGCATCCGCTACAATTCTTTTAATGGAAAAGGGCAACTGAAAACATCAGTTACATTTGAGATTAAATTATCTAGTAACATCTGCCTTTAACAGTGTATCAGTATGCATGCAAATTTCCCTCTATTACCTGCCACTTGCATCCATTTTCCATTGTCAGCTTGCTTGACCTTGAAATTAATTTATCTAACTGTGCTTACATTTGTTATTAAGTTAACTGCAGCCTTGGAGTGCCAGAAACGTTCTCACTGAGGGGATTCTGGCTGGATGACAAATTAAAGGGGTCAGGAGCAGAGATAAACCAGTCCCTCCAACTAGGCAAAGCCAATGGGGCTTCTCCTGCAAAAAGTTACAGATAAATAAAGTACAGATACAAGAGCACATAAATACACAGGGTTGAGATGATTCTACGTGCTTGTAAACTCCTTACCACTTCTTTCCTGTAGCACTGTTTTCATTGGTCTATTACAGCTGCTTTGCTTTGGCACATGGACATGAACACTCAGAAAGTGGGGAGAGGCTGAGTTATCTGCACTGCCGATGTAAAACAGGGCACACTGTGAGTGCAGAGCCTCAGCTCTCCGGGCCACTGGAGGTATTTTGCTGGCAGTTGGGTGAACCTTGAAGTACATCGGTGAGGCACAGGGAAAAGTGGACTCGTGGAGCGTGGTGCTGTGCTTTGTCCTGGAGGTGGCTGTTGTGCCTGCGCCGAGCGCTGTGCCCTCCTCGTCTAAACTGCAGTCAGGCAAACTATTTCTCTTCTTCTATACAGACAGCGGAAGAAATGTAGGTCGTATCGCCCAGGTCTCATCAAGATGGCTTTATTCTGAACTATTTCTGATCTTTTCTCCTTTCCACAGAGTGCTGGTGTTTGTATCCTTCAACTGTGCCCTCATTTTCTGCCAGTGACAAAGCTGTTAAGTCACTGCAGAGGCAGCGTATCCACAGAGCTCTCCGAATTTCTTTGGTTGCCTCCTTCTGGTGCTTGCAGCAAACCCACTGCTCTGGTAAACAAATGCATCTCTGTCTTTAATGGATTTATGACATCCCTGTGACAAAGCAAAGTGCTATCACTCTCAAGATATAGATGGCAGTAAAGGCACAGGGGAGCACAAGGAGTTGCCTAAGGCTGTACACAAAACTTGTGTGCAGGTTGTGCTGTACACAACAGACAAGTGATGAAATGGGAAAGTAACCCAGGTGTCCTAATGGCTCTGTCGTGAGGCTTCTCCAGCACGGATGGCGGCTGGAACCAAAACATGAATTCTCCTTTTTCGGCTCTGTTGCATACAGATTTGTGTTCCTTCCTTGAAGTAGCTTTTAAAAAGAAATCATAAACATTCACAAGCCCCATTTGGGGATGTCATGAAAGATAGGGTTTGTGTGTGTGTTTGAATATATGTGTAGGGTATTTCTTACTAAATTCAGAGAGATTGCACTGAAAAAAACATTGTTTTATTCTCTTCCATGCTCTTCAGCTATGATTTTTCCAGAAAGAACGAGCACTGAGACCTTATCCATATGTCCCTACTCAGCTGTGTGCTCAGTTGCTAGCTGTGCTTTCTTATGGCATGCTTTCAAAAATGCATAATCCAGTATCTAACATCAGTCATTTGCCTAGAACTTGATCAGATAGTTGGGAAATCACAGTGTCCTTCTTCCTGTTGTGAATCATTGCCTGCATTTGACATGATCTTTCACACTTGAGATGAATTGAGTCCAGATTTCAACAGCTGGCTCCTCGTTTAAAAAAAAAGGCAGTAAATGTAAGAAAAGTAGCACTGATGTCAAATGCAGGGCGAGGGGCTCATTTTGTATATATACACCCTGGCCTTTGATTTATGTGTGAGAGTAGGGATCCTGGCTGCAATCAGTGACTTGGCATTGAGTAAGCATGAGAAAGTCCTGAGCGTTACAGAGCTGCTAGTTGTTAGTGCTGCGAATTGGCCGATTGCTCTCAGATCTGCTCTGTTTAAAACAGCTTGACAAGGGCTTCTTTCTGTCCCTACTACCTTTCAAAATCAGGAAGCTATCTGCTGATGCAGCATCTCTGCTCACATGTCTACAATTAATTGACTTAATCGTGATTACGCATTGTTTGAGTTTTCCTGCTTGTCCTGCCAGGGCTGCAGAACGGCTTTTGACTTCCAGGACAACAATATTTGAACATTTTGTCATTGATGAATTGTGGCTGCTGTGCTTGTTGCTGGTATTTGATTGAACTTCTTTTAAAGTACAGATAGCTGCTGACAAAAGTTTCCTAACTAGCTTAGCAGCATGTCATCTGGTGGCATTCAGCTCTGCATGCCGTATCACTCAGCCGACTTCTTAAAAGTAAAATTAAACAAGACTTGAATCCTTCGAAAGGCCATGCTGGGTTTTTATATTTATTTATATTTATAGTACTTTGATTACATCAGATCCAATTTATGGGGGTTAAAAAAGGGTTTGTGGGCCTTTTCTATCTGAGAGCTCAGCCCAGAAGCTAAGAGCTAAACTGGGCCCTCTCTGGGGTACGCTAATTGGGAAATAACGATCCTACCGAATCAGATTCCCCTCTCATTCACCTAGTGTCTGTCTTTTCCCTGAAGAGGCTCATTTTAAAAAAGAAATGAGTCCCTCAACCACCCCAGTGTCCAGTGTTACATGTTTTCTACTGCGTCCTGGGTGAGAGCGCCAGTGACACGATGCATCTCCTTACTGTTTTCCTTACTGAGCGTAGTGCAGAGATCCTGCAGGCAGACGTGGTTGTTGGACGCCTGTGAAGCAATGGCAAACTTACCTTTTCACAGTACTCAGGTTTCCTGTTCAGGTCACTTGAAATGTGTGCAATGCAGAAACATTTTCACAGATAATTTTACCCACGTACGATCACAACTCTGTTTCTTTTAATTGCAACGTCTCTTTCTGAAATATTCTTATTTATTTGATGTACCATTCCAGATTGATGTTCAGAGAAGCACAAAGGTGCAGTTTTTGTGAACTAAACAGTGATATATTCTCTCTCACTCGAACAGCTCAATTTAGATTTTCCAGCCGGGATAAATAGAGGAAATGTATATAGATCTCAGTACTTTGTCATGATCCATGGAGTGCAGTCTGTACACCAGACCCAGCAAACTGTTAAATGATGCCATGGGTGCCGTGCTGGCAGAATTTAAGATGAGAAAGGCTTATTTCATGTATATTACTTCTTGTTTCTTCTTTTTTTTTTTTTTTTTCTAGAAATGTTTTATTGCTTCTATCAATTGCAAGAGTACATAAGACTTTAATGATAAAGCAGTAAAAGAAATGATCTCCAAATATTACTGCAGATCCCTTGATAGATTTCTGTGCACTCTGCAACCTTTGCCTGAGCTAATTAAATAACAGGCAGAATAATTCTGGGGATGCTTACAGACAGTACTGCTGTGATGCTATTTCGAGAATGGCTTTTTTTCTGAAAGCTCCTCTTTTAGGAAGCAAACCTGGAGCAGTTTAACCAGGGGGGTGCTAATCCAAAATCTACCTACAGCAATATACACAGCACCAGGAACAGAAATGTATGTGATGGTTAAAAAAACGTCAAGAACATAGCTAGTCATCATTATAGCTCTGTACAAATGCATAGAAACGACAGTAAGATGTTTGGTGGGGTCTGGAACATCTACTTTGTTAAATCATCATTAAAATGATAAAGATGGTACATTTTTCAGTTCAACAAGTTATGTGTATTGTCTTATGCAGCTTGTGGTTATAGAAGTTTCTGTTTTCCATCTGAGTCTTCAATAAGCTATTCAGCAGCTCCTTACTGAGTACCCGACCAAACTCTGGAGTCTGAAACCATCTGTTTTCAGAAAGCAGAGCTGTTCGTTCCTAATCCAACTGGGTTTGTTACAGCAGTTTAGTGAAGTCCAAATGGATTTGGGCTACATTGAACTGAGTCTCAGTGCAGAATGGAAGAGTTCCTGCCCTGGAAAGCCTAACCCAAAAGGGAGAAAAAGTTTAATTTAAAAGTGTCAAGAAAGGGGAAACAGAAGCAACGGCTGATAAAATGGCTGCCCATTGCTTTGCTATCAGCAGAACATCTGCTGAGCAGAAATTAAGATCCAGGTTTCTTATTCCCCAACACACCAGTCTCTTTGCAGTGATTCTCTGGGAGCAGAAAACACATTTTGGAAAGGATGTGAGTGTGGCTGGGGTGTCTCAGCTCTGGGCCAGCTGTCCCTGGGCCTTGCAGTCCCATGGCCTGCGCTGCCTCAGCCAGGGCTGCGTTTGCGCTCTGGGGATGGGGAGTGTGAGCACCTGGGTCTGTGTGCATGGCCTCTATGCTGAGTGGTTGGCCAGAACTCAGAGCGTGTGCTTAAGCAAGGTAGCATTTGGCTTATTACAGTAAATAGTCACTGTTTGTATTAACCAGCAGTAGAATTTAATGGCGGTCGATTTGTTTAGTTATTTGAACAAATTGGGATGTCACTGATGCAGGCATCCCACCTAGCAGTGAGGAACACAGCTTGGACTCTGTCATTCCAAGGAGAGTTTTTAGGTAAGAGTGGTGTTTGTTTTAATGCTGAGTTTTTGCCAAGGCAGGGCAAGAAAAGCTGCAATGCTTTCTGCATGGAGGTGTTTGCTGCAGTCAAGAGGCTGATATTTCCTGCACACATTCAGCTTCTCTCTTGCTCTGGTGATGACACTGCAAAGCTTCCCAGAAGCATAGACCTCTCCTTCCCCAAAGCAGCAATTCCTGAAATGATGATACTCTGAAGTATCATCTTAAGTATTTTAAAGTGTTTGCTGGAGGTATCCACGGTGATGCAGGTATTTTAGGACGCTGATGGGAGCATTTCTAGGTTGCAGTCGTATATTTTTGTTGCTATTTTTAATCGCTGTGCTAGTTTGCAGAGCAGTTTTTTGTAATGTCAGTGTCTGCCACAACACATGCTGTATAAATCATTTAACAGAACCACATATTGCTTGAGAAAGCTGCATCAGCTCTGAGTATGAAGGCAAACTGTGAACAGTGCTCACAGAGGAGAGCTGCACCCGTGATACTTCTGCCATTCAACGCTGTCCCCTCTGTGTTTTCAGTGCACCACCTTAGCACTGCTGATTCGGCCCGAGGTCAGCAGGATGAAGGGAGCCCATGCACACCCTGCTGCTTCCTGCTGCTGGGGCTTCCATGCACAGAGCAATGCTGCCAGCAGAGCAGAATGCGCAGGTTTCCCACTGGCAGCAAGTGGGAGCCCCTTGGCA